CTGGGTGACACTCCAGAATGGGAGACAAGCCAATTTGGGAGCAGATTGGATCCAGCTTCATTCAACATTACTACCAGTTATTTGATAACGACAGAACTCAACTAGGCGCAATTTATATTGACGCATCATGCCTTACGTGGGAAGGACAACAGTTCCAGGGAAAAGCTGCCATTGTGGAGAAATTGTCTAGCCTTTGGTTCCAGAAAATCCAGCACAGCATCACGGCACAGGACCATCAGCCCACGCCAGATAGCTGCATCATTAGCATGGTTGTGGGCCAGCTCAAGGCTGATGAAGACCCCATCATGGGGTTCCACCAGATGTTCCTATTAAAGAACATCAACGATGCTTGGGTTTGCACCAATGACATGTTCAGGCTTGCCCTGTACAACTTCGGCTGACCTCCTCTTAGCCAGGCACTCAGGCTGTTTCCTTCTCCCTCCTCTTCCCGATACTATTCACACTCCTCCAGATGCTCCAAATATCATACACAGATGAGCAGGGCCGCAGTGGGAGTGGGCACAGTGTGCTGCTGCCACTGGGGTGTTGTGCATGATGGTTGGAACTAGTTGCATCTGACAGGAGAAGTTTGTGTTGTACCAGCGCATGCCTTGGAAAGACTTAAGTAATGCAAAGGTTGTTCTTTTTTTTTTTTCTTTTTAATCTACTGACAAGTTGCTCTAGTAATCCAAAGAAGTGAAGGAGAAAGCAGCTGCCTCACTGCCCAGATATTGATTTGTTCAGATGTTTCAATGCCTCATGATACAATAAAACCACGAAAATTTTCTTAACAGTTTAAAAAAAAAAAAAAAAAAAAAGGCAGGTTGCCGGGTCCGGGAATCAAACCATGGTCATCCAAGTAGGAGTCAGCACCTTAACCACCATGCCACCCGCCGGATCCCAGTTTTACTTTTCAATTTGCAGTTTACTGTTTAAACTATCTAAAAATGTATTCTTTTAATAAAGTATTCTTTTTTTTTTTTTTTTGAGAGATATTTGCTTTTAGAGTGTCACCCCTGAGGGGGGGTGATGACCACGCTGCAATCTCTTCTCCTCCATTCTGTTTGGGGCATGCATGCACGTGCTCCTTATGTGAGTTTCAAGCCGCCAGGTCTGAGACTCAAACTAGTCAACTACGTGGGAGTCCAGAGATGTAATTATTACTCCATCTGCTGGTCCCTCTAATGAAGTATTCTAATGGACAATTATGAAGTATATTATGCCTTATAAAATTAATATTTTACTTTTAATTGCAGGAAAAATTATAAAGTCTGTTCCAGGAAAACTAATGAAAGAGGTGAATAGCTGATTTATTTATATTCCATGATATTATAGTCATAAACATATTTTAAAATGGATGAATTTTAATGGAGCATGTGTTACTAAATATCTGTAATCTTGATTTTTATTTTCTTATATATCACCACAGAAAGGTCAGCATTTGGAACCTTTCATCATGAATTTCATTAATTCTTGTGAATCTCCGAAGCCTAAACCAAGTAGACCAGAACTGACCATTCTCAGCCCTACCTCAGAAAACAACAAGAAGGTACTGCCACATTGTTTAAAGAGCCAATGGATATCAAGTTGCCCCTACTTGAGATGACTTTCTGTTAAAGGATGAATTCTTCTCTAATGAAATGAATTGAACTATACATTTTGTTTATATGGAAATCAGTCACAGGGTTTACTGAGGGTATTGTGTGTAGTTACTTGGTTCTTTGTTTTAACTTGGTAAATTTTTCTTTATACAGTATTTAGAAACTTCTACCATTTTTGTGTGGGAGATATTTAAAATTGGTTTTCTTGGGTTGTAAGTCACCAACTGCCAATAATCAAGGAGTTAAATAAACATACTTAATGTTCAATGGCACTACCTAATTTTAATGGCTTATAAAATATTTCATTCATTCGTTAAACAAGCATTTGTTGTGTATCTACTATTGAGTGTGAGGCACTAAAATATATTTTCTATCCTCAAGAAGCTATTTAGTGCCATAGTATGTTCAG